CTTGTTACTAAAAACGCCATGACAGGTAAAACCTGACATGTATGTATAATGGGAAGACTGTGGAAAATTATGACAAAAGGAGCTCATTAAACAGCTAGTACTTTTAGATTGGCTAATTTCAAATGCTGAGCCACAATTTCTGAGTGGCGTACACCAAACTTAAAAAAACATACCATTCGGGGAAAGCCTGGTTTGCCTGATGTCCATTCTCAATAGGTTTGTCTGGAGAAGGAAGCAGGGAGAGAACAGGGAATACCACAACACGCACCACAACACGGGGGCGAGGTCACAGGGGTCTTAGGGAGGAAGTTGAAAGCCGTGAAAGGAATGTTTAAAGAGGTAAGAGACATGTCTGGGAATAGGGATCTATCGGGGGGGCAGGAGCTGCTGGAAAGGGAAAGCAGCAAAGAACTGGAGAGAGAGCACAGGAAACCTAATCCCAGTGCTTTGCATTTATAAAGAAATCTCTGCTCAGGATGTCTGAGAGGGAGACTTGTCTATTGACCACTGCACAGAGCTGGGTACGAGGAGATCTGCATTCGGTTAACAGCAAGGCATTCCTTCTGACTTACTGCGTGAGCTTGGGCAAGTCACCTCACATCTCTGTGCCTTACTTTCATCATCCGTAAATTGGGGATAATGATACTTACCTCACATGCATGCCACAAGACTTAACGTTGTAAAGACACTACACAAGCACAAAGTATTATAATATTCTTGTCTCAAAGCCTATACATACAACCTAATGAATTAAGTTTTATAACACAACTGTGAAGGAGAGTAGATGTCATCACAATCCTCCTACTGATGGGAAGACAGATAATACAGAGGGGGTAAGGGCAATTTTTTTCAAAAATGTCCAAGTGAATTAGGAGCCTACGTCCCATTTCCAAAAAAGACTTGGAAGCCAAGTCTCACTGAAAGACAGTGTAGGCTTCTATGTGTAACCTCCTGGGTGTGGTGTTCTGTCCCATCTAGTGGTGACGAGAGAGAAAGAGAGATTAATGAGTCTGCTCTACAGCCTTAGCTAACAGGCATATGGCTTTTAGCTCATGCAATAGAGGCTCATGCACTAAGCTCCAGAAATCCTAAGTTCGATCCCGCCCACCAACGACGGGGGTCTGTCTGTGTTACATATGTATTGACATCACTTTTGAAAACTGGATTAGGCTTCTAAATCGCGTAGTGTTACCTTAAGTAACTTGAATAAGGTCACACATTGTTCCCTGAGGCAAAGTTGTGAACAAAAATAGGGTTTTGATTCTCAATCCCCTGTTCCAACAATTGTTGCCTTCCGGATCAATAACCACATGAGATAAAAATACTTGGGTTGGAAATGGACTCTTGTCTATATTGCCCAGTCCATCCATTTGAGCTCAGGTGAAATCTGCTGCATTTTTATGGAAGACTGTTTATACAAGAAGAGGGAATTCACAATCCCAAATCGCTATTAGAAACTAGAGAAAGCTTTCCCCTTAGTTCAGCCTTTAAGAAATTAATTGAAGCAAGATATACTAATAAAGAAAGTGTCCTTGTATGTCTAAATCAGGCAGAGGTAGCTGGGTAATTTGAGCACAAATTGAATTTTATGTAATAGGGACAGCTATAAATTGACAAAATCATGGCAAGCATCTCAATGACAAAGCATCTTGCATGCAGAAGGATGAGTAATAAAACCAGATGTGTAGGGGAATATTACACAGATTTTAATAGCTGCTTCGGTTTTTTATTTTATAAACCAAGAGAAAGGTGAAACACTTATTTCTTAGTTAATGTCTCCATTTTCTTTTTCTTTTCCATTTTATATTAAAGAGCATACTGACACTGTGTTTTTCAGGTCCAATTATTTTGAATTTTGAATTTTGAATTCCACATACAGAATGGGAAGAGACTGTCTAGGAAGGAGTACGGCAGAAAGGGATCTAGGGGTTATAGTGGACCACAAGCTAAATATGAGCCAACAGTGTGATGCTGTTGCAAAAAAAGCAAACGTGATTCTGGGATGTATTGTGAGCAAGACACGAGAAGTCATTCTTCCGCTCTACTCTGCTCTGGTTAGGCCTCAGCTGGAGTATTGTGTCCAGTTCTGGGCACCGCATTTCAAGAAAGATGTGGAGAAATTGGAAAGGGTCCAGAGAAGAGCAACAAGAATGATTAAAGGTCTTGAGAACATGACCTATGAAGGAAGGCTGAAAGAATTGGGTTTGATTAGTTTGGAAAAGAGAAGACAGAGGGGACATGATAGCAGTTTTCAGGTATCTAAAAGGGTGTCATAAGGAGGAGGGAGAAAACTTGTTCACCTTAGCCTCTGAGGATAGAACAAGAAGCAATGGGCTTAAACTGCAGCAAGGGAGGTCTAGGTTGGACATTAGGAAAAAGTTCCTAACTGTCAGGGTGGTTAAACACTGGAATAGATTGCCTAGGGAGGTTGTGGAATCTCCATCTCTGGAGATATTTAAGAGTAGGTTAGATAAGTGTCTATCAGGGATGGTCTAGATGGTATTTGGTCCTGCCATGCGGGCAGGGGACTGGACTCGATGACCTCTCGAGGTCCCTTCCAGTCCTAGAATCTATGAATCTATGAATCTATGAATTTTGCTGAGAAGGGGCCAAAATGAAAGTTAATAACAAACTTCATGGAGTTGAGAGCTGCAATATGTCATTATGGGCTGACATTGGAGCCCAACATCTTAACAAGATCATCCTCTTTACCAGGGCGGTCTTACTGTACAAGCTTTTGCAAAAACTTTAGCGAGAATACTGTACCGTCTTTCATACTGCATGAACCCTAAGCAGAGTCCAATATACAAAGTCAGTCTGAAATGTCATCAAGCCCCCCCATCACAAAAACCCCAAAACATTTTTTTTTCTAATTAGAAACTTACACCGAAAATTCTAACACTGGACTCTGAGGCGTTTATAACTATTCCATGCCCACAACGATCTTAATTAAGTATGCAACAAGATTTGTTTTACTATAATTAGCCTAGCAACATGAGGATCTCCCGTAGTGGATTATTACAAACTATTTAGAGAGGGCTTTATTTCTTTGTTTGATTGTGTGTGACAACCTAGCTCCCTCCATTCTCTTCGCTTCCCATCTTGCTCTTTGTGGTCAGCCCAAGCTGTACCGTGTACATTTTTGTACTGCACTCTCTTGCCCCTGGACATTTTTCCATGCTTACCCTTAGAATCCCTTTCCTGACCTTTCATCTTTGTTCCTCTGCACTCTTCTGCAAATCCTTCCTCAAAACACACTTTCCCCATGAAGCCTACTAGTCTAAATTGCCTCTCAACTTACCTTTATGCATAAAACACAAAACCAGCCCAAACCTGTACAACCCTCAAGATGCATGCCTCACTAACCTCAGCCAGTGCATAATGTCATCACTAAAGCCCCTGTCCTTCCACTCCCCTTACTGTTTGTCACTAGCCCTTTTTATATTAGGGTAAGGCTATGGGGTCAATTCTCCACTGCCTTGCACTGTGTGCATCTATGGAGAGTGAAAGCAAAATGGTAACAGTCTGATCGGGTAGCAATTGACACCCACTTTACACAAGTGCAAAAACCCTCACAAGGAACAAGGCAAAGGAGGGTCGACCCAGCAGTCTTTATTAGTCCGTAACATGCTATACACTTACTACATGGTGGAAATTACACATAGTAACGGTGGGAGGAAAACCTCCCTGTGCTGATTATGACTTGTAATGACCACGAAAGCAACATGCCAAATACAGCAAAGATTCTGTCAATTGGGAGATTTGTTGAATGAGGTCCCTTTTTCCAGTCACCTGAGCTTGGACTATTTCCTTCCGGAGCTGCTCACTGTTGTTCAGACCTATGGCAATTACCTATATCTCTGCATTGCAATTGTACAGAGGTTACAATATGATGTTACTAAAGAAGCTGGATTTATTAAAAATGATTGCTTTCCTGTGCCACGTGTTAAGTGGGATTTTTATATAGCTTTTTTCAGTTTACAGAACTGTAATTTTTATGCAAGTTCCTGATGTTTGATCACTGTCTAATTTGAAGCTTCTTATGCACTCTTTCCACATCAGCATATTGTATTTGCCTGGGGGTGGTTCTGAGAGGCTGCAGATGTTGCAGCAAGCCCCCAAGAATTCTGACTCCTTCTGTCTGTTTCTAATGCTCCTCTCCTCACTTCCAACCCAGCTGGCCCCTACGTTCACAGTTGTCCTTAACTAATTTAATAAACCTTTATACAATGTACAGTTTTATTTTAAGTATGGGGGAAGGAAATACAACCCACATCCACTCAGGGCTTGTCTTCACTACCTGCCCGGATCGTCGGGTAGAAATCGATCTCTTGGGGATCGATTTATTGCGTCTCGTCGGGACGCGATAATCGATCCCCGAATCGACGCGCGTATTCCACCAGCCCAGGTAGGAGTAAGCGCCGTCGACGGGGGAGCCACGGCAGTCGATTTGCCGCCGTTCTCACAGCAGGGTAAGTCGGATCAGATACGTCGAATTCAGCTACGCTATTCCCGTAGCTGAATTTGCATATCTGAAATTGATCCCCCCCATAGTGTAGATGTAGCCTCAGTGTGGTGCTCTGTCCCCCTCTAGTGGGGGTTGGGTCAGATACAGAGATTGATGAGCCTACCAGAACTAGCTCTTTCAGCTCAAGCTGCAGAGGTTTATACATTAAGATCCAGAGGTCAGGTTCAATTCTCATTACTGACATTTACTGAAAGATTTCACATTATAAGTGGTTAGAAGGGGGAGCGTGAATAAAAGAGGTCAGGAAGGAGGAGGTTGTAGGTATCTGATACGTACAATAAATATGTACATATTAAGGGGCCCTAACTGAATGGTTCAGCCAGGTTCCCCAGCGGGATTGAACCAGTACTAGTATCGCACAACATTGAAAATCATCATGCTAGAAGGAACCATACACTCCAGAGAATTATGAGAGTCAAAGCAGCTGTACCACATACCACCTCTACTGTGTATAAACAGGGAAGATACTTACACTTACAGGTTGACTTTTTGGCACATCATAAACACCTTCCTTCTTTTGGCTCGTCGGAACCTGTGACAGTAAATCAAACGCACAATCATCATCGAGGTAGGAGTCTGGAAAATTTGAAAGTTGTAGCTAAGTACACTGTATTTTACAAAAGAATTAAGTCGTTCTATGTGACTGAAATCAAGGATGACCCCTTTTAATATAGGGAATGTCTTTCAGTGGAGATGACCATGAGTGGCAAAACTTGGATCTGGTTTCGAACACCAAAGTGGTCGTTCAGATCTGGGGGTTTCATTCAGCTCATTATAGAGTTAAAATTGTGTCTGGGTATGAACTTCCATGAAGTTAAGACGCTTTTGCATCCCTCTTCTACATAAGTGTTTGCTTTTTTCTAGGAGGGGTTGGGGGGAAGGTAAAATGGGAGTCATGTTTGGGCCATGGCTCCATTTTCTCTTCAGATGAGCTCCTTTAATGAAGCTATCAGTTTGGCCAGCAGCAATATTAATTTCCTTGCCTCACCTAATTAATTATTGTTAATCAGAACAAACAACAACTAGTCTTGGAAGGGTTAAATTTTGATCAGTAAAGGCTGTTTTCATCATACACACATGACCCAAGGAAAAAATATTTCCATTGATGATTGAAATTTACAAATAGGCAAAGTAAGAAAAATGCTGCTTGAGAACTTATTGGCATTTGACTTAAGGATATTTACTTTTTATATTTTGACGTGTTGTTGACAATTTGTGTTTTAATGGTGATAAAGCTTTAAGTTTTTGAATCTCCGAGTCTAACTGTCATTAAATAATTATTGTCCGACCCTCACACAATTTCCTGAAACTGAAAATTTAAATAGAAAAAAATGTTTAAAAACCAACATGGATATTATCTGTCAAAATAAAAAAAAAATAAAAATCAAATTTTGCCAAGCCTAGTAAACACGCATATTTCTGGGGTGGGGCTAATCACAGGCCGCTATATAATGTCTGACCTAGCATTCTGCAACTCTTGATAAGGGGGGAAATGTCCTTTCAGAGTCTGGGGCAGCATCTACAGAAGCATAACAAGGGAATTGAAGTCATCAGCCCTTCTCGTGGGCACAGGCTGTTGTACTTTAGTAAGTTTGGGCCCAACTCTCATCCTAGGCTTGATGGAGTTCACCTACAGTATGAGTGATAAGAGGATCGGGTGCTACCCACTTATAAAGTAAATCCAAGAGAGTTATGATTTTTATGATCAGTTAGGATTTTTTAAATCTGAGATTGTTTTTTCCTGCTAAAAAACACTGAAAGCCTGTTGTAAATGGGAAATACCAAGCTTAACAGTGAAACAAATGTCTGGTACATATAATATATCAGTATCACCTTTATATTGACTATCCTAGTTCTTTGGAAGAAGGTTACATTTTAGAAGTCAATGAGCTTTACCAGTTAAACTAATCCTCGCAAATGTAATAAAACATCTTGTAAATCTTTAAATAAATCTATTTTTGCCCATATAAGCATGACAGAGATTATACAGTAGGTCAAGTCCACAATCTTACCATAAATTTATCAGAAGTTACCTATCCAGTGATATATGGCACAACCTCCAAATTAGTCCAAGAGGATGTCAGTCCCAACCATTCATACTTTCACAAGGCTCACATTTTATTATGACAGTCTCATTTTTCAAGGAACACTATGCATTTTAATTGAGAAAATATAGAGGAAATAATCAAAAATACCCAAGAGATTTCAGAGCGAAGTCCCACTGAAAGAGAATGGGACATGTTCTCCCAAACCTTTCAGGTGCTTTTTATTCCTATTTCAAGAATTCTCCTATTCCTATTTCAAGAATGACCAGTGATAAGAATTTCCCATAGTGCTCTTACAGTGCCCTCTATTCCACTAAAAAATCCATCACATTAGATGTGTGAAGTTAGTAATAGTGGAAAAATTCAATTTAAGTGAATCAACCGTCTACCCACTGGCAGACTGCTATGTTGCACTGTAAGATCAGGAACCAAGAATTTTTATTTAACAAGTTGCTTGGAGTTCTGTTATTCCTTGAGAGAGGTACAAACAGTACCTGAGAAACTGCTGTATCTTTACTAGGATATTTTTATTTAATGTAAACCAGTGCTGCCCATCACACTCTCTTATTTTCCTTTCTTCTGGAACAAGGTGATTCCATTTAAATACCCCGACCCAGGAATCATTAAGAGTCTTTGACACCTAGCCAGAAGGCTCCTAATCATAATATATTTCAATGAAAAAGAACATGATATAATTTTGTCGCTACATCCTACTGAGTGAGGCACCCCTGGAAGTTATATGTTTTAGCAAACCACAGCGGATCCTGCTGCAGGACTGCAGAAGATTAAATCAGACCTTCTTGCTTCTCCCCTTTCTATCTCACACTTGAGAGCGGCATTACCCTACCTTTTTATGAGGTTCACAACCATGGGGTCACATTTAGACTCTTCAGTATCTATCTTATCCCACGTCCAAGCTCTTGTTAAGTTTTGTGACTCTTCCCTTCAGAACTTCTCTACAATTCGTCCTCTCCTCTCTCCCCCTACTGCCAAAAGAGTGATCCACACCTTGTTTATTGCCACAAGTACTACTGCCTCCTCCTTTCTGCCCTCCCTTACTCACCTTCTCCTCCTAGCCATAACCCTGAAGCTTACAATCTTTTGCCTTCTATAAAAGTGAAGGCCATGTCTCCTTCGGCATCAAAGTTCAGACTTGCTCTATTCTGATTGAACTGCACTAGCCTACAGCTCAGCTCTCACGTATGCCCCACTCATGCAGGAAAATGTTCACTAACCATTTGGAGTACAATTTTGATTCAAATATTGACAAAAAATTTTAAAGAGGTCGTTTTCCCTCAGAAAATCTTTTCATGGGAAAAATTTCAAAGAACTCTACTCAAGACTCTGGACCTTTCTTCACACTGCCCCTAATACCTGGAACAGTCTCCTCCTCCCTCCTAGTCACTCTCTCTCTTTTTCTCCTAATCACTCTGAAAATTTATTATACTGAGCATGTTTTCCAACACTAATCTATTCTGGCAGGGTCACTTTCCTGCTATCCAAACCCTCTTTCCAATGTGAGTATATGAAATAATGACTATCACATGAATCACAACATAACCACTGATCTGAGCTCCTGTAGAGAATATTGCCCATAAATCATCACGTTTTCCCTTTCCCCTCCCCTATCACCATATTCTGCTGTATGCCTATTGTTGCTTAGGCCTTGTCTACACTAAAGGGAAAAGTCGATCTAAGCTACGCAATTTGAATTACATGAATAGCGTAACTCAAATCCATGCAGCTTAGATCTACTTACTGCAGGGTCCACATTACGTGACATCGATGGGAGACGCTCTCCCGTCGACTCCCTTTACTCTTCTCGAGCAGGTGAAATACAGGAGTTGACGGGAGAGTGATCGGTGGTCGATTTAGCGGGTCTTCACTAGACCCGCTAAATCGACCGCCGATGCATCGATCGCCGCAGTGTCAATCCTCCAGTAAGTGTAGATAAGCCCTTACACTGCAGGCTCCTTGGAGTACAGACCTTGCCTTCGCCTTTGGCTGTAAAGTATCATAAAAACCAGTGATACTATATAAATAATGTAAAATTAATTAATAAAGGCCCCGGTCCATAAAAATGGTGGCACTAACATAAAACCAGCTGTCAGGTAAGGAAATGTGATGAAAAGTCCGGTACAGAAAGGACTGCTGCATGTTTGGTGGGCAAATCCCACAGTAACTAGTGCATTAGAAATACATGGGTAGATTAGATTAAATACACAGCAAAAGCATGCCCATACACACACGCACACATTTCGGGGTAATGAGTCAAAGAAAGAAATGAATAGAAAAACCATGCCTAATAAGAGAAAATGCAACTCAGTGATATTAAATAGTGGAATGTTATCACAATAGTGAGATTTAATGTTTGTTTTTTATTTAACTAACTACCACTCAGGGACCTTTTGTACTTGGGGGAAATGAACTCTTTGTACACCAGCCTTAGGTAGGAAAAGCAGGATGGCACCACAAAAAGAAGGTGTGAATAAGACAGAACACGATGTGTGAGGTAGAGAACACTTGTTCCTGTGGAGCCAGTCACAACAGAGAGAAACTGCCTTGAGTCAAAACATCGCTGTGGCCTGTCTGTCTTGTGCACTGCTTATTACAGGTAATGAGGATGTGTAATTTCAGAGTGCTTAGGTTACAGCTCAATGAGGAGCTTGCAAGTTTCCCATAGTTAAGTATGGACAGAAACACTAACTTGTAGGAGACAGAAAGAATTAGGCAACAAGGAAAAATCTAGTTCAGAGGAATCTTACTAATGATACTAAACTGACTGGTTCTGAGTTAGTCAAGACCTGTAAAAGAAACAGCCTTTTCAATGATGTAAGTGTAATAGGAAGGTTGTGAGCACCTAGATTTACAGCAGCTAGGGAAATCATAAGTTACATTGAGACTAGAGTCCCATGGGAAACTCTACTGTGGTGATACTTCAGTGTTTGTTTGTCAATTGCAATAGATAACTAACTAAGATTTGTGGTTAGCTAATTTCAGTGTTTACCATATTCAATGTATTGTCTATAGTAAATGTAGAGAACTACAAGGGATCACAGGCAAAACTGGCATGATTTTCATTGCCACCACTTAGAAAAGAAACCTTTCACCATGTCCATAGTCCATCATATGAAGCCTTGAACAATTCACTGGTGACTCAGAAGGCAGAGGCAGCACTTCCAGAACAGTACAGATCTCCTCTCTTGTCTACCATCCTTTCTTTCCATTTTAGCAAAACCTTGGAAACACTATCGTTATTCATTCACATTCTCTAGGTCCCTCAAAACAAATGGTTTTGATTGAGTCTGGTCTGGCTTCCATCGCTCCTGGAAAAGCAACTGCCCTTTGTATGAATGGGCTCCTCTCTCTCATTCTTTTCAACCTCACTCCCTTGTCTGATACTTTGACCATGACTCCCCTCTTAGCCACCTATAACACTTCTTAGAGATCCCCTTCACCTTCCTTCCCTGGCTTCACAGATACTTCTTCAATAGCTCTGCATTTTGGTCACCACCAGTTAAAATATCTTAAGCTGATTGCATGCATTTGATATGAAAATTATGGGGCGAGCAGGAGTATGACACTTGGAGAGAGAATTTTAAATAAGGTCACTTTTCAGACAGCAACTACACTTCAAACCATGTGTCCTAGCTCAGCAGTTCTCAACCAGGGGTCCAGGACCCCCTGAGGGGATGTGAGCAGATTTCAGGAGTCTGCCAAAATAAACAAGAAAGCCGAAGCCTGAGCCCCATCACCCAGGGCTGAAGCCGAAGCCCGAGCAACTTAGCTTTGTGGCATGGGGCCGGTGGCAATTGCCCTGCTTGCTACCCCCTAACACCGGCCCTGGCTTTTAATCTGCTGGATATGCAGAAAAGCAGTTCTTGTGGCATAGGTGAGCCATAGCTATAGCATGTTGGGGGGCCCTCAGAAAGAAAAAGGTTGAGGACTCCTGTCCTAGCTTATCTCCAAACTTAACACACTGTGTGTGCAGGAAAATACATTCACCCCTAGTGGCTTTAACGCACTGGCTACATAGCATATTTTAGTTAGTGATGGGAGAACAACACAGCTTTGTAGGCTTAAATGTACGTATGAACTTAATGAGCTAATGATCAAATAACAGAATGCCCTAAATCCCACTCATTTACTTATGTTCCACCTTCTTACTCCTCTCTCTTCTGGCCTAAATCCCATTCTGTCCCTTTGTTCTTCTACTCTTTTCTTCATTCTTTCTTTCATTACCGTCTTTTTTAAATTTCCCTCCCGTCCTCCTCCATTCCATCCCAACTTGTCTGTTTTTAAAGGTCTGTGTTACAACCAGATCAACCTAAACTACATCCCAACAAAATGCTGGGGCCCTTTATAACCCTCCACCCTATGAAGGATTTATCGAAATCTTGATTTTCCTGTTGTAATTTCTTTTAATAGAACAGAGATCTCTCTGTCTCCAGATTTGCTCTTGTTTGTGATTTAAACTGAATTAAATAATCTTTTGATAAGTCCTGCACTGACCCCTGGAGGATGGACTGAATGACAAAAGGGGTATTTTACATTACCATCAATGGGAGATTTGTCAGAGTACAGAATGCAGGATGTGTGTGTGTGTGTGTGTGTACGTTGTAAAAGTGGATGCAGTTATAAAAACTGTTGCAGATTAAAAGGAAAGAAAGGAATCCACTATTTGTCATACTATACAGAGTACACAATGTTTATGACCCTACATCAGTTACCAAAGATAAAGTGGATACATTTTGAAAAGGCTGAAAAAAGAAACAAATAAATAAGGAAAGCATACTGAGACTGTGAAAATTATTTATGTAAGTTGAATGAGGATGAAATGTCATGATGAATGAAAACTAAGTGAACTTCAGTCTATGAAATGTGCTTTGCTAAATGTTTGCATTGGGTGCAGTAGTAACACAGATGTAGCCATTTTATACCTGATATATGTTTTCTTCTGTTTCAGGCTCACGGATTGGCTCATGTCCAGCCTCAAACACAATGTACTATTACATCAGCCGCCAAAGAGGAAAGGTCAAAGATGAAACAGAAGGGGAAAAAAGGCAGTTTGGAATTCCAGATTAAAAAAAACCCTAAACATAGGCAGGTATTCAGGAAACAGGTTCAAAGTATAGGTTGGCACAAGGATAATCAGTTTGCTGGAAAACACAGTTATATTGTTTTCTTTTTAATGAAAGAGCAATAAAACAGACCTGGCTCTTCTTTAATGATCATTAGATCAACTTCCTGCTGCTCTCTCACTAGGGATACATTCTGAAGCCCATTTCTGCTCCCATTGAAGTCAATGGGAATTTTGACATGGACTTCAATGGAAGCAGGAACAGGCCTCTGGGCTGAATAATCATCACCCCCCCCCCAACTCCCCACATTTATTAGTAGTGAATAAGAAAGCTAAACCAAAACTCAGAGAACAGTTTGGTGCTTATGTAACAAGTTTCATAGTAATAGTTTGCTACTGTGCTTTACTTTTTTTAGGTTATGGCTTTACAGTCCTTACTGTTTAGGGTTTTCAAAATAAAACTTGTAGCCAAGTTTTTCAAAAGCGAATAATGATTAAGGGTGTCTCCATTTTGGATGCCTCCTATGGGGCATCTCAAAGGGGCCTGATTTTCACTGAATAGTCACCCTCCAGAAACCAGGCTCCTTTCAGGTGTATTAAGCTGGCATGCAAAAATAGAGGCACCTGACATCTCTAATTACTTTTGAAAATCTTAGCCTCAAATGAAGTAGCATTTTATTAGGCTCCTACATTTCCAGCAAAATGTTAAAGTGAGTATGCACAACAGCTTATTTAATAAGACCCAAACTGCCAACATACCAAATCAGCTGGTTACAGTAGTCAATTCCATTTTTTCCCCTGGTACCAGTAGTGATGCTCTGGGAGAAATTCTGGCCCCAGGGAAGCCAATGGCAAAACTCCCATTGACTTCCATGGGGCCAGGATTTCACCCTCATTGTTGTTTTCAAAATAGTTTCTGTTTTTGTTACGTTTCCCCACAAAGATGTGTCATTATTTTTGGAGAGAAAACTTTCACTTCCGTTTCTAAATGATATTCTAAGCAAATATTTAAGGTTTCCATCCTATATTGTAATATTACATATTAGTATTATTATCTAGAACTTAGTAAATATTCTGCTCTTTATGTTGAGATTGTTCTCCCTCTACTTAAAATGTATCTCAGTAAACTTTTGCAGTACTTTGTTACAAGACTAGCCTGTGTCTGAAAATAGGATAATGTATATCTAACTATTTCTGAAACCTAATCTGTACAGCTTCAGAAATTACCTGGTACACAGGATCTTCTACATCTTCTTCCAAAATTGTCTACAGCAAAGAGGACAGGCGGTAAAAGCAAAGAACATAAACAGCAGAGAAACAAGACTGTATTCGGAAATTAAAGGACAGCAAAGAAATGAGCTCATTGTACGTTAAAAATAGATATTTCTTTTTGAGTTTACAGATAACTGTTGTGTTATTGCACAAGGTAACTTTTAATCAAAGCTGCACCTTGTCTGACTTTATTTAAGACGACACATTCTGAAGCAAAATTCAAACTGTGCTACAATTACCAAACACTCTTAAAACAGATCTACCCAATGTGCTGGCTTCCACTAAAAGTTGTCTCTCTAATTCAAAGGAACACTCTCTATATGAAATGAGTAGATCATTTCATGTTTCTAAGATTTTCATCTTACCCAGTGTTACAATTTCCATCACTGTTTAAGCCTACTTAAATTTCCATAAGCCCCTGGAAATTTCCATTACATGCATCCGACGAAGTGGGCATTCACCCACAAAAGCTTATGCTCCAATACATCTGTTAGTCTTAAAGGTGCCACAGGACTCTCTGTTGCTTTTTACAGATCCAGACTAATACGGCTACCCCTCTGATACTTAAGCCTACTTTGACAGAGTAAGAGCTGTTACCTTTCTATTTGTCCGTGTGGAGCATGATCCTGAAACCCCTACCCCTATCCTCTGACTGGCTAGAAGCTAAGCACACACAGATACCTGGTACACTGCTTGTTCACACTGCTTGTCCTTTTGTGCCTTTTTTTCCATTTCTTCCCTTTGTTTCAATTCATAAATGAGCTGAAACAGGTCTCGCAAGTCCAGAATTACAGGCTCAGCCTATTGAAGCAAAAACAGTAAGTAGGTTTTAATAAAGGAAAGAAGACTTTCCCCCCCGGTCCTGTTGGTAGAACAGTGATATCTACCTTTCAAGAGAAGGAACTTCACACTGAATTAATTTCTACCTTGTTTATATTAGTTTAGAAAATTGCATCTAGGCTAAGGTTCATTTCTATAAAACTAATTATATTTGCAGATTAATGATAATTATACTTATGAGTATTGAAAGTATTGCTTATATTTATTAGTGGTTTCTAATACAATGAAATTAGGGCAGATTTTATGCAAAGTAGCTATTTGTTTTCTATCGTTTTCTGTTTAAATGAGTCTACGAACATACGTAAACATATTTGTATTCCGTCGATGTATCTAGTTTAATTAGAAAGGAAAATAATGACTAATTAGAAGGAATACATCAAGAAAAATTAAGAAGGGTGAAATACATTCCCTTTTTCTCAGACTGGGTATAGCTAATCCACCATCTAAGAACGTCTATGCAGACACATCTGACAGCACGTATATTGAACAAACAAGCTAGCATGCCCTTTTGAATAGCAACATTAAAGATATAACTTTCAAATTGAGTTAAACTATAGAAAATGACAAAGATTTGATACTTACTGCCTGGGCTGTTTTTATTGCCACAAATCTATGATTTCCTTCCTTTCCACACACATATCCAAAGGCTCGGTGGTCTGTGATATCCTTTGCAATGTACGAAATTTCATGAACTGCATGATGGTGCTGTAGTAGCTATTAAAAAAGCAAACCAAAACACATCTATAAAAACATTCCATTCAAGCTATAATTTAATTCTCAAGACATACATTTTACCTGGGTCTTCGTATGTCTACCAAATTTTAAAAAGCCATTGCGTCAAAATGAATAGCAATGTTTGGACAGTGCAATCAGGCGATCTCTAAACAAGTGTTTTGACCAATTTAAGCACTGTATTCATGTTTTGCATAAACGTTTCTTCCAATACCTTATGGTGAGAGATAATTCAATAAAGTATTCTAGGCACCTTAGCAATTAATTTGATGATTAAAATGTATAAAATAACAAGAAGCACCTATCTGATTATCAGGATTCTAGCTCCAAGCCTCTTACTGGATCCATGTGGGAGGACTTCTATGGCAGCACAGAGCCCCACTGACTGCAGGCCTGGGGCCTAAGCCTTGATCTTACTCCCTACGGAATCAATGGCAAAATTCCCATTGACCACAATGGGATAAGGATCCGACTACAAATTGTATTTTTAGAATTGCATTTAGGGCAACATCAGAGCTGCAAAATTTTACTTTTCTCGAAAACTCGTAAATTTCCCCCCCTTCTTGGTTTGAAAAGGGATTGGTTTTTAGCTGACAATGACCCATTTTTGTCTGAAAAATTTGCAAATTTTGTTGCAAAACTGTGTGTGAAAGGCCTGTTTTTGATGTCAACAAGAAAATGTGAAAGCACCCAAATGTATGGCTTTTCATTTTAATTGTGAACATTTCCATACAGCTGTATTTAATGCAGTAAACAAAACTAGCATCCACTTTCAAAGTCCTTCTGAAATAAAAAGGCTTTAAAGCCTTCTATAAAAGGGTATGAGACCCCATAGTCTACCTCAGGTCCAGAGACAATATAGGAGCTACAGAGGCAAATATATAAACAGCAGTCACTTGGTCCATGCAAGCGCCAAGCCCATCTTTTGGACCACATAGAGAGGGATGCCATGGAGGAGCTAAAAGTACAGAAGAGTAGCACAAGTGATGACCCCTTAAGCGTAACCAAGGGAAAGCGAAGGTTTGCACCAACTGAATCAACCCCTCTACTACATCCCTGTCTACACCAATTATTGAGTCCGGGCTACCCTGAGTGCAGACGACAACTTTATAGGTCTGTCCTCGAACTATTTACCTAAAATGATCTAATTGTCTGAATTTCTTACTTCCTACATGTCTCTTGCTCTTCACAGTCTAAAAAGAATACCATTCTCAAGTGCAGACAGAACCTCAGAAAGGGCACTACTAGAGGATCACATTCCTGTCCTTTTTGAGAAAAACACATATGGACAATCAGCATGGTACCCTGAGCTCTAAACCATCGGTTATTTTTACATTTTTTTAAATGTGTGAAAACAGAGTGAGTGAGTGAGAGAGAGAGAGGTGCCCGTGATGAGACTGCTGTAGAAATGGGGGATGAAATGAAAATGGAAATGTAACACAAAGACGAGACATGACTGCTTATAAGACAAAAGACTGGATATTTTTTCATTTTGTTAGTAAGTGTCACACAACTTTTGGGGTTCAAGATGGCTCATATTCAGGCTAACAGGTGTACTGCCACTGACTGCAATTTGAACAAGGCTGGGTTTTAGATGGCTATTGTTCATGAGAGATGCCGCTTTCCCAATGTGTTAATGATGTAAAATTGAAGATGGGATTGCATTTATATAATATAGGGACATTGATTTATTTGTTTATTCTCAGCTCAAGTTGCATGCTCTCTGTAATAGTGAAATTAAATGTTCCCCTTTCTCTAAATGCTGTATATTATAGAGAATGTTATCTCAGGCTCCTGTTAAATAAAAGTTTTTTATTGATTGCCATGCAGCATTTTGCACTGAAATTAAACTCCTTCCTGGTAGAATTAGATTTGAAGATTATTCTGAGGTGGAAAAATATCATCTACAATGCAAGACACCAGATGGAGACATTTTAATTTATTTGGGAACCCTTATTAATGGTTCTAAAATCATTACATTTGTAATTGCTGATGATACCATTTGCAAGGCAATACTGAGCATCAAAATAAGTAAAGGTGTCCGCAGCATTATCCTTTTGCATATTTTACTTTATGGAGTGTTTAGAAAGATTGCTCTCAAGAAGTTTTCATTAGTCAGAGAGAGATTCTGAGCACAAGTGTCATAATTTTCTCCATCCTTGAAACACATACATAAAATGAAATATTGTCCATACAGTTGTACTGAAATGCAGATGTACATAATCATTTGAAATTATTCTTTTGCAGACTTAGGTGAGTCTAGGAGTTGCTTGATATATATATTTTTAATTTTCAACTAACTTAATCTAAAGTTTTGACTTAATAAGTATGTGCCTGATTCTTCTCTACCATACACTTACACTGTTGTAGTAAATTGGAAGTAACCCCATTGCAGTCAATGGAGTAAAATCTGTGTAAAACTGGAGATCAGAATCATGTCCTGTAGCTAATCAGATATGGTAGCATTTAACCCCCACTTTGCACTGGTGTAAAGGTGTGAAGTGAGGGAGAATATGGCCAGATGTCTCTCCCTTCTCAAGCAGAAATTAGAAATGGCCAGCTAAACAAAAGAACAGTCTACAAATACACGATCTTTATAGATTGTGATTAATTTATGAGAATCCACCATATGTTAATTTAATCTGGCCTTTAAAATATGACTGATCAGTGCAAATGCCTTCTTTATCCAATCAGTTTTACAACACTGCTTGCATTCAGTTACTACTCTTAAAACACTGTTCCATAGCCCCAAATGGAAATGAAACAAAACTGTTGTTCCACACTCAAGTACTCATGTTCACATTCTAATTTTCTCTCTCTCTCCTTCTCTTTTATCCTCAGGACTTTTATTATGACATAATCTTGCCTCTAGAGGAAGATGGGCATACAAAATAAGTATTTCATAACTCACTCAAGGGGTGTTCATGAGACCCCCTTTTGTTATTCTCCCTGATACATTCCTTCAGCTATTATTTGACAATTTTACAATATCTTTGCTGAGTGCTTCTATGAGCCATTTACCAATTTATAAATGAAGTATCAAATTGTTTGGAGGGCTGCAGTATGACAGAACAAATTACAGCGACGGCTTAATTTGTATTATGGTTCAATACAGTCAATTAAATACTGCATAGATTAGAAAGTAATTTGCTTTACCATTTAAGCTTTAGTTGTTTAAAAAAAATCCATTATACACACCGTCCATATTATTGTTCGAGTCTGTATGCAACACTATCCGCAGTACAAAATATACAGGATTCAAAAATATGATAAAAGCATGAATAAGCCGTGACACACAGGATAATAAAGAGTGGTATACACGACTGCTCAGTACTATAACTGTTCACAGTACTTGTTGTCTCGCGAGGCTAAGGGGAATGGGACCTCATTCGTAGAGCTCTTTTGTTTTACTTACATTTTTGGATGGATTTTTTGAATTTGAAGTTTAGGAGATAAAGTGGCAACTTTAAAAAGCCAGAGAGCTCAGTCACTGCCACCATACAAAGCAGGCCTAACCTTGACCTATGCACAAAGATCAAGTAAACAGGCTTTGCACAGGGGGTCTCTGAAAAGGTTTGGCAGGTGGAGTGGTGGGCGGAATCCTCACAAACTATGGTGTAGCAATGGGCCTGTTTTGTCTTTGCTACTGCAATTTAAGGGTCGCTGTAACGTCCACTGACCCTGCGCTCCCCTTCCACCGACAATTTTGGCCTCTGTACCTACCTAGTCATTATTTTCTCTCCTTTTTCCAGTCTGTCCTCTGCTTCTGCTGCTCTCCCATGTTGCCTCCCCGCCCCACATTGAATTGATTGAGCTACCTCAGAGATCGGTAGCATTTCTAATTTCCCTCAGGCTGCTTAGAGCCTGTCATAAATTCGTTCACCCTTGATCCTCATCTTGCCCCTTGGATTTCCATGCTCTGGCCTCCAGTTCTCCTGAATCAATTAAGCACTTAGAGAGGCCAGCAATCATGTCAAATATGAGAGTTAGGTGGTGTTACAAAGTCACGGCCATACTATCACTATTCCCTTTTTAATGAGGCAGCCTATTTATTGAGGCCCGGGGCACAGTAGTAAGACCCCCAGTGAGAATTATCCTGCAGGGAAAGCAGCAAAGCATCTTGTAAATGGTGCCCAGTCAATAGCAGAAATCACAAATAAAACAATGTTATATTTATATGGACAAGCTCCACAGGGATTTCATATAAAGAACCTTTCATATTAATTAATTTACCCCATGAGCCTGCTTTCAGATCAGTGGTATCAACTGACTCAAATTTATGTGCCACTACTGCCACTATTAGCTTTGTGAGAGGAGTGACAGACCTTGTCCACCCATTCTCTATATTTCTATTCCTATTTGATATCTGTCAAGAGCATTTCCTACTCTATTTGAGCCAACAATCTTTTAAGGCTTTGCAAGAACTACTTCTGCATGCTGGGTGAAATTCACTTGTGCATGGAAGACAGACATAATGAGGTCCTCTGCACCACTCAGGCTTTATTATAGTTATCTATCTATACATTCTAATTACAACATATATACAATACTAAAAAGTACTTTAAGGGCCACAGTTTCAGAAATGCTCAGAACCTGCAGCTGCCATAAATTTTGACTCAAGTTGTGAGTGCTTAGCACTTCAGAAAATCTAGCCATAAATGTCTAGGGCGCTTACTAAATAAGAATCCCAGAATTTGAACTCACGGAGTAAAATTATTGTATCACCTTAGTAACAGGCTTGGTGAGCTGGAAATGTTTTACCACAATTTACGGCAACATGTTAAATTAACACAATGTGGCACTGCAGTGATTCTGAGATTAGGTCTTGTCTCCATTGAAGACAAGGGAGGTACAGAAGTTTGGCTAGTTTCTCTTTTAGATGTGAGACTTTGTTACAAATATTCATGCTGCTTGGTGCGCGCACACACACACACACTCATTTTCCCTAAACACTTTTCATTTCTGTCTTTCTAGCAGTCAGT